GGGTATTTTAAGCTGGTATATATGTATGTACGTATGTATGTATTTATTTGAGAGTGAGCACATGCGCACAAGAGCAGGGTGGGCAGGTGGTAGGGGGGTAAAGAAGGAGAGGGAGAGGATCTCAAGCAGACTCCTCATTCAGTGTGGAGCTGCACATGGAGTTCAATCTCTTGACCCTGAGATCATGACCTGAGCTGAAACTAGGAGTTGGACGCTTAACCAACTGAGCCCTAGGTGCCTCATAATCTGGTTTCTTTTATTTGCGACCGAGGAATCTAGGATATATCTAGAAAAATAAAATATTCTTACAGAAAGAAATTTCAAAGAAAAGATGCCTCAGAGCTGAAGAAAAGGGAACTTCCAAAGGAGAATTAAGCAGTCAATACTATCATATGCTACAAAAATGTAAAATAAGAAGAGTATGCACTAGATTAAGCAATTATGAGGGTAATAGGACAATTTCAATAGTTATGAGGCAGAAAAGCAGATTGCAATGAGTTGATCAATGAATGGGAAGATAAATAACTAGATTTCAACATTGATCTACCATTAAAATTTTACATGTATCATCCAAGTAAAGCTTTTATGCAACAGGCTCTAATAAAGCCATTAGAAATTTAATATTTTCACAAACAACAGCTATTCACTGAGTGATCTTAACACAAATCCCTAGCTGCTGTGAAAATAAGAACTTTCCCTTCCTGTGTTGATTAAAACATTTGTTCTTAAAATCTACTTGCTACTGGGGTGCCTGGGTGGCTCAGTCTGTTGAGTGTCTGACTCTTGAGTCTGGCTCAGGTCATGATCTCAGGGTTGTGGGACAGAGCCCCACATTAGTTTCAGAGTGAGCATGGAGCCTGCTCAAGATTCTCTCTCTCTCCCTCTGCCTTCTCCCCTCCCCTCAGCTCATGCTTGCTCACTCTAAAAAAAATTAACTAAAAAAAACTACTTGCTGCTAATGTCTTCTGACCCCAGTGTTCATATAACAAATCACAGAATATTCTAACAGCTAGTTACTGTTCATTGAGGTATAAAACATCACAAAATATATATAATACATATCAAACTGTATGCAACTATAACAAATTTTAAAGATACTTACTCACCTTGTAATCCTATGGAGAAGAAAAATTGTCCTTTTACTTTCAACAGTTATATCCCGACTAAGTTTCACAAGTCTCTCATATTTATCATGTCTTGCATCAAGTTCCTGCTGAAATGCTAACACATTATTACAACCATAAGCATGCATATTCTATGCTTCAAGCCTATCAAACAACACTGTTATTATACACTATAAAGGAACTATTATTTACTCTATAAAAATGAAGAGCACATCATCTCATTTAAATGATGGAAATCAAAGACTGCTAGTAACCAAAATATTCTTTCTTTAAACAGGTATGCTTTAACTGGATTTTACCACTCATAGCCTCATAGTAAAATGTGTGTATATATATATATATATATATATATATATATTTATATTTATATAAATGTATATAAACATATATATTTAGAGTTAAAAAAAACTCATCTAGTAAACATGAATTATCGCAGAATTATCACGAGACTTTTATAAAAACTACTTCAACTACCTAACTTTCATAACGTTTTTTAAATCGTATCACATGCAATGTTATCTCCTCCCACAAAAACCTGGACTTTTTTTTTTTTATTAAAAGTTCATAACTTTTAAGGACAATTTTCTGAATTTTCAAGCCCTAGTCACTGAAATACTCATAAGCCACTTAACTCTTAATCACCACTTTATTTCAGAAGCATTGTCACAACAAAGACCTAGCAAATATCCTGTCCCACAGGGAGCACAGGGATGTATTTTGCAAAAATACATTTAAAAATGTATTTAAAAAACCCCAGAACTTGAATAAACTATTAACCAAATTAACAGGTTGACAAGGACCAAATACATTTGCTTCTATTATTGAGATAACAACTAAGCAGGGATTTTGCCTAATATCTCAAGACAATGAAAAGCTTTCATTATTATAAATATTAATGACAACTGTGAATCAGATACCATGAATACAAAGTTAAACAAGACAATTCTTATCCTCAAGGAGTTTAGTCCAGTTAAAGACAAAAATGTAAACAATTAAAATTCATAATAACCATGTGTAAAGGTTCAGGAAAGCAGGAACCACATTTTTCTTGTTCCTGCTAACACATGCTAGAACACAGTAGATGCTCAATAAATATTTAATGACCAAATGGATGAACGGATAATGAATAAATGCAATGTCTGTCAATAAATTTGCTTGACAAAAAAAGTCAGAAAGACTTCCAAGAAGATATGTGAGCTAGGTTATGAAGGAAACCACGGTTCACCAGATGGACAATGGAAGTAGCAAATCAGAAGAAATTTTGAGCTTAAAGAACTATGTGTGAAAACGCAGACAGAAACATACAAAAGCAACATATGCTTGGAAACAAGCAGCTCTGTATATGGTGTGTCAGAGTACAAGGATGGGGAAACCCTGGCCCACTGCAGTTTTTGCACTGTGTATACCATTCATTGTATCAATACACTCTCTAAGCAATTACAAGTTGTTTTATACATCTAAAGATCAATGTAGGTGCCATGATTTTAAAATATACCCACAAATTATTTAGGACTCCCTTCAAAAGGTGGAACCTAATTTGTTCCCTTTAAAAATGAAGCAGAGGGCAGCCTGGGTGGCTAAGCAGTTTAGCGCCGCCTTCAGTCCAGGTTGTGATCCTGGAGACCCAGGATCGAGTCCCACATGGGGCTTCCTTCATGGAGCCTGCATCTCCCTCTGCCTGTGTTTCTGCCTCTCTCTCTCTGTCTCTCATAAATAAATAAAATCTTTAAAAAAAATTTTTTTAAATAAAAAAATAAAAATGAAGCAGAGTTATTTAAACTGCCTCATCTCTAACAAACAGAATGTAGCAAAAGTGACAGCATATTGTGTCTGAGATCAGGACCTAAGAAGACTGGTTTCCTCCTTGCTTTGACTGAGGAAGCCAGTTGCCATAACATTAGGCCACTCAAGTAGCTTCCTGTGAGGACGGAGAGCTGGTTGTTGGCAGAAGGCCCGACTGGTCAACTGAGGCAGATCCTCCAGGCCCAATCTGGATCCTCCAGGCCCAATCAGGTCTTCAGATGACCGAGAGTGAGAATCAACAGCTCAGGCACTCTCGGGCTCCAACTGTAAGGTGTAGGAGGGTGGATACACGATGACAGGAAGGAGATTTTTGTTTTATGCTTTCTTTTGAAATGAGGAGCAACTCAACCAAGTTAATAGGAGGATTGTGAGGGACACCTGGGTGGCCCAGTGATTGAGCATCCCATATGCTTCAGCTCGGGTCGTGATCCCGGGGTCCTGGGATGGAGTTCCACATCAGACTCCACAGAGAGCCTGCTTCCCCCTCTATGTCTCTGCCTCTCTCTCATGAATAGATAAAATCTTTAAAAAATAAAATAAAAAAATAAAAGGAGGCCTGTGAATAACAGATACACACACAGACATTATGTATGTGCAGTATATCTGTGGCATGTATATGACTCATTAATAGAGAAGGTCCCACTCTGTGCGAGGTGTGACAGTCACAACAAAAAACTTAATCCTGGTCTTCAAAAGTCTAGCTGAGGAGCCAAAACCAAAATATACGCTTCAAAGTGAACTAATTAAATCTATATGTATACATACATATCTATAGAGCTGATACATACTTGTATGTCGGGGACACAGTAATTTTTAGTGATGTGGCATTTCTGATGCTAATATTTACCTGTAGAACCCGTACAGAATAAGAATAATAATAATAAAAAAAAAAAAAAAGCCAACACCTGAGTACCCTCGACTTTAATGGCAGACCCAGCACCACAGCAAACCTCTGGGGAAGAAGGTACCACCTCTCTCGCTCTCTTCCCTTCGCCAACCTCCATGACAGAAAACTTACATTTGAAGGCCAACATCACAGGTGAAGATGAATTAACATCCTTCCCTTCTCTTCTCTGGTTATGTGGGAAATTGTCATGCTTCCTTTTCCTGAACCCTCCTGATCCTTACGTAGAGAAGGAGAAAACAGTTGGGTAGGGCTTTTGCACCAGAGCTGGCCCCTGCCTCGCTCTCACACCCGCGCCCAGGGGCCCTGTCCTCGGCCGACTCACGCAGCAGCAGCCCTGCCTTTTTATTCCCCCCACCCCCACCCCCCGACCTTAAGCTCACCTCACCCCGGGCCTCCACCAGTGGCTCTCCTGATCTGGCACAAGGTGGAGCAATGACCAAACTAACATCAAAAACACAGCTCGAGGATTTAAGAAATGGCCAGGGGTACACAGGCCCGACGTGGCCAGGAAATCTCCGGGGCCGCCCCTCCCCCCGCCCCTCCCCCGAGCCTGCATGGGGAGAGGGCAATCCCTCAAGCGGGAAGCGAAGTGGAAAATCCGACAAAAAGGAAGGAGATCCTCCCCCTTTGAATAAAGAACGCCCAGGGCCGCCGAGGACGCCACCTTCTTTGCTGCTCATGTCGTCACGGCCTACGGCGAGACGAGCGGAGACCGAAGGCCTGCGAGCCAGCAGAGTGCGTAAGGTGCTGGCCGAAGAGCCTGCCGAGGAGCCCTCCGCAGCCGGCCGACGTCGACGCACTGGCCGGAAGCGCACGCCCGCGGCCACTCACGCCTCTCCCTCCGTCCTCGCACACTTCCGGCCTGCGCCCCGGCCCCGCCGCCGCAGGCTCCGCCCCGCGCGCGCCCCGGGGCTCTCGCGCCCGCGCGCCGTCGTCCCTCCCGCCTGCCCTCTGCTGTGCCTGAAGACAAAGCGAACTCTACAGGCCTCACTGCGCTTCCATCAAAACGGATGATGGAAGCGAGGCCTGTGTGAAGGTGGAAAAACGGCGGGAGGTGTTGGTGATTTTTTTTTTTCCCCCTCAAGGCACTTTTGGAACACCCCCGCGTTCCCTTCGCGTGGACCCAGCCTTCCGCGCGGGGAGTGATGGGGGTTGTAGTTCGCCCGCCGGAGTCAGCCCCTTGCTGCCCTCCCGACCTGGCTGTGAGGAGGGAGCGAGCGTCCACCGCCTACGGGAGGGTCTTCTCAGGATCCAGGCCGAATCTTACGGAGCTGGGAGTTTAAACTTTCCATTCCTGGCTGTGGGGCCAGCAGGCAAAGTGATGGGGAGATACAAATCAGTAAGCAGGCGGCCTTGGCGTTCGGACGAAGGTAAAGCCGCCCTCTGTGCCCCGCCCCCGGGCCCTCGCCTGTCATCGCTTTGTGCACCGCCGCCTCCGCGCGCTCGCTGCGCTCGGCCTCCCCGGGCTCCGCGGGGCTGTGTGACCTGAGGGCAATTAGCCGCTGTCCTCGGTTTCTTTACCTGTGAAACGGGGATGGAATACCACCTGCGTCATACGCTTAGTCGAGGGCCAAATGCGTTAATACTAAAGCTCATAGAAGAGTGTCCTTTCGCATAGTACACGCTCGAGTAAATGTTAGCTTTCAGGGGCGCCTGGGTGGGGCCGCGGTTGAGCGTCTGTCTTCGGCTCAGGCTGGGATCCCAGAGTCCTGGGATGGAGTCCCGCATCCAGCTTCCCGCAGGGAGCTGCTTCTCCCTCTGCCTGTCTCTGCCTCTCTCCCTGTGTCTTTCGTGAATGAATAAAATCTTTTTTTAAAAAAGAAAATATTAGCTTTCATACCCTTCTCCCAACCTCACGCTCCAAAAAAGAGAGAGAGGTTGGTAATAACAGGCTAACAGGTGTGCACAACCAAGTTGTGAGCTTTTTATTTGGGGCAGGTACTGCCATATACATATATATATATATATATATATATATATATATATATATATGATTTTATTTATTCATGAGAGACAGAGAGAGAGGCAGAGACATAGGCAGAGGGAGAAGCAGGCTCCCTTGCAAGGAGCCCGACGTGGGACTCCATCCCAGGACTCCGGGATCATGACCTGAGCCAAAGGCAGGCGCTCAACCACTGAGCCTTCCAGCCTTTTATAACCTCCCACCCGCGCCTCCGAGATCCACAGCTCTTGTAAAGCCGCTATAAGTGTTTGTTCAAGAATGAGGTTCCCATCGCCAAGATGGGTAACAAAGTAGCAATCCAGCATCTTCTAGGTATAAACTCAGGGTAGGGCTTTGGTAAATTGGGTGGCGTAGGCCGAGTGGGGAAAACACAAGTACATTTTATTACACTTTCTCTGAATATCTCCATGTTGTGGGCACGTGCTGCACACACAGTCCTTAATTCCTCCTAATACGAAAGGATAGTAAATGAAACGACTTGACTAGAGTATGGCCGAATTTTCAAGCCCAGGACAGCGGTGTGTGGTAGGAAGGTTTCCTGCTCTAGCTAATCTCTAGAGTCTCTCCCCACTCTGAAGCAAGAAGGTACCTCCTATCCATACCTTTGCAGCTCTTCGACTACATGAATTAATCAACCAAATTCCTTGCAGATAAAATAGGCTGCTCATGACTCTTGCTTTGTAGATTTGGGGCAAATTAATTCTGAGTTTGTAGGAGATCTGACCTTGGTGATGTTCACCAGTATCCCCCCTTTTTTAATGAGAGAATAATTGACCATGGAGGGAAAAAAAAAAAACCCTCTGCTATAAATATAGTAATTTAGATGTGACTCCCTTCAATATAAGGAAGCCAATAACTTACGAACATTTTTAGAGTCAATATTTATTTAGCACAGTCTTAGAAGAAGAGTATTTTTTCCTAATTCTACTGGAATAGCAGCTCTGAAGACCTCAACTACCCAAAATTTAGATCAGCCATGTTTATTGTCTTTCCCCAGCCACCACTCCTGTTCAGCTGTTTAACTACAGCTATGTTGCTTGAACAGTTTTTCAGGCTTACCATAATTGGTACAATTAGAATGCAGAGTTTCATAACTTGTAATGACTTCTCAAAGTACTGAAAGGTGAATCCCGGGAACACTTTTCCAGAACTTATTTGCATATGCAGTTTCACCAGGTGTCCCATCTGTAACTGCTCCTTTGTCAGGAAATACCACCTCTGGTAATCTGCAGAAGTCATCTCCACATTGTCTCTTTGTTTGTTGCTTCACATGCATACACAGAGTTTTGCTATTTGGCAAAACATATTTTCGTTTGTTTTTAAGGAAAAGCTACCACCCCAAGTTGGGAAGCGGAAGGCAAACATTTTCCGTGAGACCTTACTTCTCCTTTACTAGCCAATTCTCAAACCTTTGTTGTTCTTCCTCATCTCCCCAAACTCAGCAATCAATTGCTCAAAAGACTTCCTCTCTGTTACACTTAGTCTCATGTTGATCTCATTCGGATGATTTTAAATGTCGTTAGTAATCTAATAAAACCCCACATTATGCCTCTGCTCCAAAAAATTCATATCCAGTCCAAACCCATATCCCAGTACCTTATTCACCTATTTCTTGAGTGTCTAATATTTATCTCAAAATTAACATATCCAAAATTGAACACACCAGTCCCCCAAAACCCATCTCTTCAGCATTATTCCCTATTTAAGTTCATGTAAATATCTTTTTCCAATTGATCAGACTAAAAAACTAGAGTCATCGTTAACTCCTCCCTCTTTCACATTCTACATCCTATTTACTCTGGACTGAACTGCATCCCCCAAAATTACTATGTGGAAGCCTTAACACTCAATGTGACTATCTTTGGATATAGGGCTTTTAGGAGATAAGTGAGATTAAGTAAGGTCATGTGGTGGGGTACTAATCTGGTAGGACTGGTGGTGGCCTTACAAAAAGAGGGAGAGAACAATCTCTTTCCCCATATGCATTCATCAAGGAAAAACCATATGAGGATACCGCCAGACACCATCTGCAAGCCAGGAAGAGAGGACTAGAACCTACCGTCTTAGAACACTGATCTTAGACTTCCATCCCCCAGAGTGTGAAAAAATAAATTTCTGTTGTTTAAGCCATCCAGGTTATGGTACTTTTCTTATGACACCCCAAGCAGACTATGCCACTATTCATTACCAAATCCTATTTGTTCTACCTTCACCATATACTTAGATTACAACCAGGCTCTCCAAATTCTACTACTTTCCGCTTACCCAAGCTACCATCATCTCTCATCTGAAATACTCCAATAACCTCCTAACTGAATATAGATGTCAGTCCTTCTCATCAAGAAGTGGAGTCAGTTTTCTCTCCCCTTAAAGTTGATTTAGCCTTTGGCTTGTTTTTACTAACAGAATGTGGAGGAAGCAGTGTTGCATCAGTTGTGAGCCTAGACCTTAAAAGACCCAACAGCTTCCCTTTTAGCTCTCTCGGAACCATTATCCACGGTGTAAGATGTCTGACTATTCTATTGGAGAGAGAGGCCTGACCAACCCACGTTCCTTACAACCAACCCAGCTGAGCTGCCAGCCACATGGGTGACACTACCTTGACATTGCAGTCCCAGCTGAACTTCTTTCTGAATGCAACAGAATGATGACACCAGCAATCACCTCCATGGAGCAAAAGAACCAGCCATACAACCCACAAAATCATGAGAAACAATCAGTCATTTTAAATCCCTTCAGTTTCAGGGTAGTTTGTTGTGCAGCTGACTGATAGACACTGGTGTCCTGTTTTCAATTTTGCCCAACTTTCAGTCATCTTTCCACACAGCAGTCAATGATTCCATTAAAAAAATATAGAGATGGTGTTACTCCTCTACTTAAAATTGCAAGTATACTCCTCTTCCTCAGAGTAAAAATCAAAATTATTACAAGACCCTATATAATTGGCCCCAACCGCCACCTCATTACCTTGTCCTCATCTACTGTTTGCTAACTCTGCTCCATCCTCTTTGACCTTCTGTTCTCAAACAAGCTAGACATGGTTCTGCCTCAAAGCCTTAGCACCTACTATTCTTTTAGAATGGATGGCTTTTTCCACAGATTTCTTTAAGACTTTTTCTTGTCTCATTTCATATCCCCACTGAAAATGGCACCTTCTCATTGAGGCCTTCTGTGGTAGCCCAAATAATGGCCTTCCAAAGATGTCCATATCCTAGAAAGGGGAAACCTCTTGCACTGTTGGTAGGAATGCAAGCTGGTGTACCGAATCTAGAGAACAATCTGGAGGTTCCTCAAAAAGTTAAAAATAGAACTACCCTATGACCTAGCAACTGAACTATTAGATATTTACCCAAAGGATAGAAAAATACATATTTGAAAGGGTATATGCACCCCAATGTTTATGGCAGCATTATCAACAATAGCCAAACTATGGAAAGAGCCCAAATGTTCAACTGGTAAATGAAAAATACATACATATACATATACAATTGAATATTACTCAGCCATCACAATGAATGAAATCTTGCACTTCACAAAGACATAGGTGTAGCTAGTGTATTATGCTAAGTGGAATAAGTCAGTCAGGGAAAGACAAATACCATATAATCCTCACTCATATGTGGAATTTAGGAAAGAAAACAGATGAACATATGGGAAGGGGAGAAAAGGAGAGAGGGAAATAAAGCATAACAGACTCTTAACAATAGAGAACAAACTGAGGGTTGATGGAAAAAGGTGGGTGGGGGATGGGTATTAAAGAGGACACGGTGCGATGAGCACTGGGTGTTGTATTAAGTGATGAATTGCTGAATTCAAACCAATATTGAACTGTATGTTAACTAACTAAAATTTAAATTAAAATAAAAAGTCGACATCCTAATAATCACTGGAACTGGTAAATATATTACCTTAATGGCAAAAGTGATTTTGCAAATGTACTTAAAATGAAGAGTCTTGAAATAGGGAAATTATCCTGGATTATCCAAGTGGGCCCAATGTAATCACAAGTGTACTTATAAGTGAATGGTGGAGGCAGGAGAGTCAGAAAAGGAGATATTGACTATAGAAGAAGTAACAATGATAAGATTGTTGGCTGGAGGCCATGAGCCAACAAATGTGAAAAAAAGGTCAAGAAACTGAAAAGTGGCAAGGAAGCAGATTCTTCCCTAGAGTTCCAGAAAGGAATAAAGCATTGCAAACACTATATTTTAATCCAATAAAATTTTTGACCCATTTCTGACATCTGACCTCTAGAACTGTAAGATAATAAATTTGTGTTGCTTTAAGCCATGAGTTTGTGATCATTTGTTATATCAGTAATAGAATCTATCTGTAGGGACACCTGAGTGGGACAGTGGTTGAGCATCTGCTTTTGGCTCAGGTCATGACCCTGGGGTCCTGGAATCGAGTTCCGCATCAGGTTCCCCACGGGGAGCCTGCTTCTCCCTCTGCCTATATCTCTGCCTCTCTCGCTGTGTCTCTCATGAATAAATAAAATCTTTTTTTAAAAAAGTGTTAATTCGGTGATTTTTTCGTGTATTCACAAGATGGTACAACCATCATCACCACCTGATTCCACATTTTCATCACCCCAAAAAGAAACCCATGCCTTAGCCACTTCCCATCCTCCTTCCTCAGCCCTTGGCAACCACTGATCTATTTTATGCCTCTGTGGATTCTAGATATTTCATAAACATGGAATCATGCAGCGTGTGGTCTTTTGTGTCTAGCTTCTTTCACATAGCATAATGTTTTCATGATTCACCTACCTCATAGCACGTATCAGTTCTTCATTCCTTCACATGTCTGAATAATATTCCATTGTAAAGGTATAATAGATTTTTTATATCCATCAGTTGATGAATATCTGAGTTTCTACTTTTGGCTATTATGAACAATGAACATTTGCCTATAAGTCTCTGTGAATATATGCTTTCAGCTTTCTTGAATATACTCCTAGGAGCAGAATGTATAGGTCATTGGGTTCCTCTCCATTTTTTTTTTTACTTTTTTTTTTTTTACTTTTTTTATTTATTTATGATAGTCACAGAGAGAGTGAGAAAGGCAGAGACACAGGCAGAGGGAGAAGCAGGCTCCATGCACCGGGAGCCCGATGTGGGATGAAAAACCTTGTTTTTAAAAAGCACTGAATTATATATATATTAATTGCGGAAAATGTATGGCAATGAGGGTTTTTTTTAAGATTTTATTTATTTATTTATTTATTTATTTATTTATTTATTTATTTATTTGAGACAGAGAGAGAGAGAGGCAGAGACACAGGCAGAGGGAGAAGCAGTCTCCATGCAGGGAGCCTGAGGTGGGACTCGATCCCAGGTCTCCAGGATCACGCCTTGGACCGAAGGCAGCGCTCAACCGCTGAGCCACCCAGGCTGCCCGGCAATGAGTTTTCTATGTATTCTATAAACTATGGATATACTGTATCTCTTGATTTATTACTTTTATTGTGCTTTCCATGAATAGAATTTTGTTGACTTTGGTTACATTCATTCCTAGGTTCCTTATAGTTTTTGTTAGCTTTATGCTATGAATTTTACACTTTTTGTAAATAGTGTGGGTGGGATCTTTATTTTTATGTATCCAATTGGCTATCTAACTAGTAGATAGATAATATTATTTGAGCCAGAAAAGCCTGACTACTAAGTCTGTGTCAAGGATAGCATTATGTACAAAAGATTCACTTTTAAGATATTTAAGATATTTAGAGCTACATTATAACAGGGAAAAATATGAATTTTATTTGAACAATAAATGACTAAGGTGAGTATTTGGAAATAATGATATTAAGATATAGTCATAAAAAGAAGTGTATGACTATTTTTTTAAGATTTTATTTATTTATTCATGAGAGACACAGAGAGAGGCAGAGACACAGGAAGAGGGAGAAGCAGGTTCCATGCAGGGAGCCCGATGTGGGACTCAATCCCGGGACTCCAGGATCACGCCCTGAGCCGAGGCCAGATGCTCAACTGCTGAGCCACCCAGGCGTCCTAGTGTATCACCATTTAAGTGAAAAAAGGTGAGTGTAGTTTGATCACAAATAGATATAGAAGAATAAACAAAAACATTTTTAACATATTGTTGATGTGTGCAGTGAATTGGGGACTGTAAAGCTAATGCAGCCACTCTTCTAGAAAGCAGTTTGGCAGTTTGTATTAAGATTTAAAAATGTTTATACCAGTTGACCTAGTAGCAATTGTACTTTTTGAAATTTATTCTAGGAAGCTATTTAAAAATGTAGGCCAAGACTTAAGTACAAATTCAACAGAAGACTAGCAAAATTTGGAAACAATTTAATGTATATTAATAGGTAAAGTTAGATTGTGTAAATTATGATTCACCCATCCAAAGGATAATTGTATAACCATTATAAACACGTTTTACAAAAATATTTTAGTGTTTATCTCACAGAGTAGCATATACTACTTTTGTCAAGGTCTGAAAGTTTACCCTATTCAGAAGCTAGTAAGTTAGCCTGTTACTATGTCATGGATGCTGGCAGAGGATGTGAGACTCCTGGGTCAGAGATAAAGAACTTTATTACAGCAAGCAATAGATCATGTTGTATTTCTTTCTCTTGCTCCCAGAGTTCCACAAGAGCAATGCAGAGCAGCCCAGATGGATTCTATGCACATAGTGGAGTTTGTATCATAGCAGAGGAACACTGAATTGGAGAAGCTGCTGCTTTTATAGATAAGCAGTAAGCAAGCTTGCTTTTTCTTAGAGAGATGTACCTCTCTTCTCACAACCTTGAGAAATGGACCACTGATGTAATACGTATTTGTATATTTATAAAGAATGGTTTAAAAACACTGCGATTTGTGCAAATGTATGTACCACACACTACTGCTATCTCTGTTTATCATATTTAAAAAATTGGAAATTATTTGTTTTAACGTCTTCCATATTGAGTTAACTAAATTTGGTTGTATTCATACATTAAAATACTGTATTGACTTTTAAAAGAATAAGATTAGGGGATCCCTGGGTGGCGCAGCGGTTTAGCGCCTGCCTTTGGCCCAGGGCACAATCCTGGAGACCTGGGATCGAATCCCTCATCGGGCTCCCGGTGCATGGAGCCTGCTTCTCCCTCTGCCTGTGTCTCTGCCTCTCTGTGTGTGTGTGTGACTATCATAAATAAAAAAATAATAATAATAAAAATAAAAGAATAAGATTAATGCATTTATGTTCAAAGATATCCAAGATATATCATTGGAAGAAAAAGGCAATTTGCAAAACAATATTTAGAGTAAGATCTTACATCATAAATTATTTAAGTTATTTGAAATCTCAAACTTTGGATAGCACAGAAGACCCAAAAAAAAAAGATATCTGCATGTAGATAACTAATTTACCCAGAGAATTAAGAATCTCATCGATGAAGGTAATTGGGTGGCTCAGGAGGGTAAGCGTCAGACTCTTGTTTGTCTCAGGTCATGATCTCAGGGGCATGAGATGGAGCCTCACATTGGGCTCCACACTGGGCATGGAGCCCACATAAGATCCTCTCCCTTTCTCTCTGCCCCTCACCTCCTTTTCTCTCCCTCTCTAAAAAAGAAAACGAATCTCACTGATTGCTATCACAGAAAACATTTTTTAAACGTTAGTGTAACCAAAACAGGTGAATGCGAGTGAGTGATACAGGCTTCTAGTTTTGGAATGAATAAGTCATGGGAATAAAGGCACAGTGTAAGGAACATAGTCAATAATATTGTAATAGCCTTGTATGGTGACAGATGGTAGCTACACAAATGGTGAGCACAGCATAATATAGAAACTTGTTGAATTGTTATGTTGTACACCTGAAACTAATGTAAAATTGTGTGTCACCTATACTCATATATATTTATAAAATATTTTTATTTTATTGTAAATGTGAACATAATCAGAGTCAGGTGGGAGTATGCTGCCCTTTTAGGAAATTATTAGTGAAGACCAGAGTTTACTTTTTAAACGTGTTTTCCAGTGTTTGAGGGAGCAGGAGGGGCTAACAACTGCACTCTTAGGATAATCTCTCAGTATGAAATCATATGACTAGATTTCAAGGGTTGTGTTTGAGTTTAAAGTACCTTCTTCTTATTAAAATTACTCCTTCAATTTAGGAGACCAGTCTAAAATCCCTGAACAAATTACTTTTCTGATAAACTAGTTAAAATGGGTTGTATACAAAGAAAAACTATGATTGGCACAGAAATTGCTACAAGGAACAGTTTCGGGGCACAGATCCTCAAGGAAATGGTTATTGATCTTAGAGGGATCTGAAGGCATGAGGATTAGTGTTTCATGGGTAGTCTCTGGCACACAGAATCAAGAGTTGCTCAAATTACTACCTAGGCCAACTGTAATGAAGTGCCTGCTGAAGGAAGACTGGGTGACAGGTGTATTGTTCCTTCTTTCAGTTCGGAAGAACTTTAAAGAAAGCTAGTAACAGACTTGAGACAAAAATTCTTGGCTCAGCGTAGAGAATCGGGAGCTATCTTTAACTGTGCTAAAAGAACTTTTAGATTAACCACCTCGGAACTGAGGTCACAAATATTCAAACTCAAATTCTGATCCTGTGGATTGCAAATTTCAAGGTTAAGTTGCTTTTTACAGGGGCACATGGGTGGCTCAGTTGGTTAAGCATCCGACTCTTAAATTTGGCTCAGGTCGTGATCTCATGGTTCTGAGATTAAGCCTGATGTCAGACTCTGTGCTCAGTATAGTAGGGAGTCTGCTTGAGAGTCTCTCTCTGCCTCTCCCCACCATGTGCACACACACACACTCTCTCTAAAATGAATAAATAAATCTTTAAAACAAAAAAAGTTGATTTTTACAGAATCACCAGACCTCATGCAAAATTAGGACGCTAAATGGAGTAGAATGGAAGATCCCAAGAATTGGCATAGAGAAGAATTTGGATGATTTAGATTGCACCGCATTCCACTCAGCATTCCTTGCAAGCAGAAATGTAATCTCTCATCCGCACATCTGATAAAGATGTTCCTGCATGGCTTGGAGATCTTATAATGAATGACCTTGCCTCAGATGATTACCTCATAAGAGGTGGCCAAATTGCCTCCTTCCCATCACTTCCCTTTGCCTCTGTGTCTACTATTATGGTCACATCCTAGCAGGCACCTGGAGTCAATTACAAAGTCAAACCCTAATGGGAGAAGACTCCCTAATGGAGAAAGCTCACAAAACAAAAGATTTGTTATTTCTATGCCTAACCTCTGAAGAATAGCCAAGTAATGCATTGTGAGAGTGTTAGACTAGGGAATAGGGAAGAATTTTAGATAGAATCAAATTTGCTAATAGGTGCTCAAGCAGATGGGAGTGATTTTAATAGTTTGCTTACTCAGTTATCTGAAACCTGACCCAGTGGCAACCAACACTAAATGGAATGAAGTTGCAATAATTCCTTTTTATAAAATAAAGAGAGGGAGATGGGAATGCTAGATTGGATTTATCAAATCCATCTACTCGCTCATCCTTTAATGTTCGTAAGTGAACTCTAAATACATTTTCCCTATTACAGCATTGGAAAGTACAATGGGGGTACCTGGGTGGCTCCATCAGTTGAGTGTCCAGCCCTTGGTTTTGGCTCAGGTCTTGATCTCATAGGTCATGGAATGGAACCCAGTGTCAGGCTCTGCACTGGGCATGGAGCCTGCTTAAGATTCTCTCTCTCTCGCTCACTCTCTCTCTCTGCCCCTCCCCTGCTCACTCTAAATAAGTAAATAAGTAAATAAAAAATAAAATCTTAAAATAAAAGTAAAGTACAATGGTGAGAGATGGATCAGAATTTTCAAAGTGTTATAGTGACTGTGTTCGGTAATCAAGGGATGCAGGTAGGTGATTCTGCCATTGAAATTAGGTTAATAGGATCCTAGGTAATAGCCAGAAGAAACATCTAAAGACCAAACTAAGCATAATTATTATGACAAACCATAGAATAGGAGTAATAATCAGAATGGTTCTAGATCACATAGACTTGAGGACCAGACTGCCCACTAAGTTCCTAGCAAATACAAGCTTCAGTTGAGTATCTAGATCAGATTCCAGTCAGAATTATAGGAAACATTTGGTTTATGTTGCATATATTTCTGCCCTGTAACCCACATGTATATGTTTGTAATCAGAAAAAAAACATTTTTCACTTTAAAAATTTTAATGAAAGCATGAATACTGCTAAATATCAGTTTTTTATGTCTATTTGCATGTTTATTGGTAATTTTAACCTGCATATACATTTGGATTGTTTCAATTTATCTACAAAATTTTTCCTAATCTACTGAGAAAAATATTACTTAGAGAAAGAATAACAGTGACTATCTTTGGTTAGTGGAACATGGTGTGTTCCCATTCCTACATTTTCTAAATTTTTCATATGTTAAGGGGTGCCTGGGTGGCTCAGTCAGTTAAGCATCCGACTCTTGATTTCAGCTCAAGTCATGAACTCAGGGTCTTGAGATGGAGCCCCATGGCTCTGCACTGGACCTGGATCCTAAGATTCTCACTCCCTCTGCCGCTCTCTGGCATGCATATGCACTCACTAGCTCACTCTCTCACACACACAAACTTTTAATTTTTCATATGTCCAAAAATTGGCTTGTAATTAAATGTATTATTATGTTATTATATTATTGTGTTACATAATATGTTGTTTTGCCCTGCCTACTGATATCACTTCCTTTAGGCACCTGTTCTTACGCCATATAATCCTAAATTAATCTTTTCTCTTTTCTACAATTGACTCTGAAACAGACACACCCTGGGAGGAAAGGTAGTTTTAGATGAGTCATTTGCAGGCCCATGACTTCCCTGAAACTGCAGTGGTTCCTATCCTCCCCAAGGATTCATTGTTCATCCTGTATTTATTTATTTATTTTTAAGATTGTATTTATTTATTCATGAGAGACACACACACACAGAGGCAGAGACACAGGCAGAGGAAGAAGCAGGCTCCATGCAGGGAGCCCGACGCAGGACTCGATCCCAGGTCTCCAGGATCACGCCCTGGGCCAAAGGCAGGCGCTAAACCGCTGAGCCACCCAGGGATCCCCTATTTATTTTTTTTAAAGTAAACTCTTTGCCCAATGTGGGGCTTGAACCCTCAACCCACTGAGCCAGCCGGATGCCCCATTGTTCATTTTTTATTTTGATGCTGGCTGCTTATCAGAATCTCAAATAAATTCCTTTTTAAAAAATTTTATTTATTTATTCATGAAAGACATAGAGAGAAGGCAAGAGACATAGGCAGAGGGAGAAGCAGACTCCCCGCAGGGAACCCGATGTGGGACTCAAATCCTGGGACTGTGAGGTCACACCCTGGGTCGAAGGCAGACACTCAACCGCTGAGCCGCCCAGGCATCCCTCAAATAAATTCTTTAATTTTGTTTAAATTAGTGTCTATTGCTTGCCACATAGCAACTTTGATTTAGAAATCATAACCACAGAGTGGATTACAGGATTTGTAGAGAATACAGTATTGGTTATAAGTAAAAGAAGCAAAAGGGAATCATTTTATAATCGAGGATGGGAAGAGAGCAGCCCACGATACATAATGGCAAAATGTTATTACATATGGCCATCTGGGACCATGAGTGCTCTGAGAGTTGTTCTAGAGGAAACAAGTAGGTAGTGCAACAAGCCATTTTATTTTTTCATTTTTTAAAATAATCTCTATGCCCAACACAGGCCTCAAACTCATGACCCCAAGATCAAGAGTTGCATGGTCTATTGACGGAGCCAGCCAGATGCCATACAACAAGCCATTTTAAAGGAAATGTAGATAAAGTGAGTTATAAAGGGTAATATTGTTGTTTTTAATAGATATAAATCATTTAAGAAAATAGCAGAAGCATTTGCTTGCATTTGATAGGGACAGCAGTACACATTTATGATCCTGGCTCGGGATACTTAGCTTTTGTTCTTAGCCACACATGATTGCCTGGCTTGTTATTCTTCAGGACAGCACATTAATTTACTACCTTGATGATGGCATGCCAGTGGGATCCAGAAACAGCAGGCCCACAAGATGCCATGTATGACACATATTTACTGGATGAAAATAAAAATCTGTGAAAATACAAGACCCTACCACATCCCAGAAATTATGCCTTTAGTAGATAGAGACTAGGTCATGGTATTTTC